AGGAGGCATAGGTTCTACCGAGAATTTATTAGGATTGCTTAAATGCCAGGGAGGAAGACTGAGATTTCACAAGGGTCCTACAATCCAAACTCGTAACAGAATTTAGTACTTTCGATACAGTTTACATAAAGTCTTCGGCGTCAAATAGTTTGGCATCCCGTGATGGGTTGCCGGTTCCATCGTGCTCCTATCGAGACAAAGAGAAATATATTTGACTTGTATGCTTGTTGCTTAGGTAACGAAATCTCACTGCAAGTTTCAGGCCCCTCCCCCTAATTCCTAGCCCCTCGGTGTGCTTGCGACGGCTCGATTGAAGGGTTTGGCTGTGGTGTATGAACAAGTAGAATAAAATGAACTTCAGCGTATTCAGAATAATGTAACTCAAAAAAATGATGCTTTCTAAAGAGTCATTCCCAAAGGTTGCATCACCTTTTTTCATAGGCAGACTGTATTCGAACAAATTTAATTGTTTGTCTTTGCCCATCTTTAGGATGTGATTTCCGGCCTCGATGAAGGTCAGACCAAGCTGCTGGCGGCTTCAGAAGCGGTAGATCGTCTCTTCCACTCGATCACAGTGGTTGTAGTCACGGCTGAATCTTCCATTTTTATGGAACATTCAAAAACTACCTCGAATCAAGGTGAGACTGATCTGAAGACCCCTTTTTTTCATAAGATGTACACCTTAGAATAAGTGAAAATCGGACTCTCTAGCTTCACTTATTAAGCAATGAGAGTCTCTTTTTATTGGCCCTTAATACAAACCTTGCACACTCATAACCGTACGGATTGGGTGCGTCTCATATACAGTACAAGATATACAGTGCCTGATCAAACACTGTACACTCTACGTTATGGACCACAAGCTGTAGCCCATACACACGATAAAGTACACAACTTACATCGTTTACCACACACCGCGCTGACATCACACAATTCACAACACCTAAGACATTACACACAATACTACATACAATAAATCCTACTCTAAAGACTACAAAATCTACACAAAACACCCCAACACAACGTACCACCCTCCGCAGATCACAGACAGTTTGCCAGTCTTTTCTTAATATTCAAAATTCATCACCCTGCGCACCAGCTAGTCACCCGCAGAAACAACAAGCCTCACATCATTCAACCTAAATCGAATATCACTCCACAACCATTCCCAACAAAGCGAGCCCCAGTGCCGGCTCCACCCACTCCTTTATACATTTCTTCTTTTATTCACTGTCAGATTGTTGGTTCTTTCTGAGTCCCTCTTTCCTATTCAGCCTCAAGAACCAGTCGAACTTCTCCAGGCCATGCCGAAACATTCCAACTTTCATCCACGGGTCAAGCTAATCTGCTAGCTGAGATCTCCAGGCCTTATCCTCATACCTTGCAAGCCATTGAAGCGGTGGATTCCAACGGAGCTGACCCCTACGGAGGCGATTTTGCCACAGTCTGCACTGGCGCCGGACAACGAGCAAAAGCCCAACTAGCCGCAGCAAGAAATGAATGGAATCGGCTGAGTGAACGCGCTTGTGAGGTAATTTCTTAACCAATTCAATTATTGAAGTTGTTTGACCTTGTTTTCGCAACTTGTTCATAATGGTAGGAAGACTGATAGAAACGCACCTTGTCC